TCCAAACAGATGCACCAACTAGTAGCAGACTTAGCATGCTTATTCCCTGAGACCAGGGAGACAACTTAGATAAGCCAGAACTCCAGATAAAGTGACCTGAGTTTAGGTCGTGTTGAAAGCATTTCTTGTAGCTAAACTAAGCAAAAAGGAAGAACATTGCCAAGATGAATTTTTTTTTTGTGTGTATGCAGAGATTACATGAACAAAGGCTACAGACCTGAAAAACTGTTCAGGGTTTGAATACCAATGAAAATGTTTAGTTTAGGGATGACGATATTCTATGATATTCAAAAACTATATATCAAATAATCACACCTGTGGTAAGCTTTTGTGCAATATGTATTAACAGGAAATGCAGGCATGTGTCAGTTTTCCCCGCAGTAACACTGTGGACACTCTGCTAGCATTTTATAAATTAGTATTTTCATAAATTGTTGGAAATTAGAATGCTTATTGGTGAGGTGGGATATAATGGCTTGACATTTGTACCAAGTTGTCCATTTGCTTTAACATGCCTGCTCATTAGTGGAAGATACATATACAGGGTGATTCAAAAGGGTAGGGCCAAACTGAAGGAGCGTATAGAGGGACTCGAGAAAAACTTTCGAATAGGAATCCATGTCCTCCGAAGTTATCCTGAATCAGTCGAGGCCATTGAAGGCAAATAATTGGTTTGTAAGATTGCTTATGTAATCCTTGTACATTAATAAAAAAACAATTAAGCTAGTAGGAGAATAGCAAAGTACGATTATTTCAGCGGTATGCTATCAGACTTCCCTACATTCAATGGCCTCGATTGACTCAGGATAACTTCGGAGGACATGCTATTCGAAAGTTGTTCTCTCTGAGTCCCTCTATACGCTCCTTCAGTTTGGCCCTAACCTTTTGAATCACTCCCTGTATGCACGTGATATTTACCTATTGGAAACCAGCATAAATATTAATATGACTGACCAGCAAATTGTGAAATAAATTTCTGTTATTAAATTAACAGCCCAACCTCCAGGTGTGCCTGAGATCTGCAAGAAGTCTCTGTCAGGATGCCCTTGTACAGGGGGCATGGAGCTGTTCATTCTGGGCAAGAACTTCCTGAAGGATACACGAGTAGTGTTCCAGCATGGTGATGCATTGTCAGAGACACCTTGGGAGGAATCTGTCCAGCCAGACAAAGAGTTCCTCCAACAGGTATGTGGATAATAACAAGAACCTGGCAAAATGTGAAAGGACTTACAACTCCAAAATTGGCAGTTATAATAATGATGATAAAAGTAAAGTAAAGTTTGTCCCACTATACGCCATGTAGGCGTTTGGGGTGAGTGGAGGTATAGCTCCTCTCTTTCTTGACCTCGGCACTAGATGGGGGTGAGTGGTCAGCATCACGCCCCGGCCGGCTTTAGCCCCGGGAAAGGACCCCGGTACCCATTGTAGAGGAGGCTGGGTGGGCCTCAGAGCCGGTCTGGACGCAGAGGCTAGAGGAAAAATCCTCTGCCCCCGTCGGGGATCGAACCCCGGTCGTCCAGCCCGTAGCTAGTCACTATACTGACTGAGCTAGTAATGATAATTTATTCACTTATTCTGCAATAATGTATAACACAAATGCAATCACGCTAAAAATTTGCTAAATATACTTAGAAAGGAACACGAGATTTATATTAGGCATGCAGAAATTAAAACTGTTCTGCTAGTCCTTCTCATCTGTTATGTAGTTTCATTCTTTATTAATGCCTTAAGTGGGCTAAGAGCTTGTATGTGCCCCATGGGGAGCGCACATATATGCACACTTCAGAAAAAATACTGTTTCTCAGTGGGCGAAGCTCATATGCACACTATTTCTGTCATGCCTCTGTGGAGTGTTCTGCCATTTAGTGAATTTTTTTTTAACTCGGTAGTCCTCTAAATTGTAGTACATGCACTTACACTGAGATTTGGATGGCGGGGGAGAAGTAGGCAATCGCACAAAACAACATTAGTTTTTGGTGTAATGATTTTCTCGTAACTACCGTGATGGAATTAAATTATTTCTTGAAATGTGTGAACAATAGGTCCCACAAGACGTTAAAAAGAATTTGTGAAATACAACACTAAATCCAATGGAAATAGGGGAAAGTAATGATAAATGTTTAAAAAAATATGGTGAAATTGTTAGTAAAAAACATTAATTTTTTTATTTCCATACCGAATAAATATGTATTATCCATAATGTGTAAAATATTGACGATTATTTGTAATAAAATAAAATAGCTGCACTTTGTGATGCAATGGCATAAATTCCACCCCCACATAAGGGGTTAACACTCTGTGTAGTAAGGTAAACAAATTATACTGCAGGTCATTCAAGGTAAACAAATAATACTGCATGTCATTTATATGAACTTAGAGGTGAAAACGTGATTCATTCAGATAACAGTGAAGATTTTGGTTTGGTTCTATGCTAATTTTTGTCTCAATCAGGTGTTCAGTGATGCAGCACTCGTTAATTGTATTTTTAATATCCTCATGAGTTTACAACTTTAGTTTTGTGTTTAGTGATCTTCATTTTTTCTTTGTTAGTTTATGGGTGAGCTGTATAAATTATTAAGTTTTTGTTATTTAGGGTGTGCAGAAAGAAATAAGAATCACTTACGACAAGATACTTATAACTTTTCTCTGTGTGTTATTAATAAAAGTACTTTGGACATGGTAAGCTGCTGCTACATATATGATAGCAGCATAATTATTTACTGTCTTGTATTTCCTGACATTTCACTGTGACTTTTAAGAGGAAGAAGCATTGATGCTTATGTCCATGCAGGTGTTTATGGACATACATCACCAAAATTCTGTGGTTATTAAAATTATCTTTCTAGATGTTACATTTTGATTTTTTGAATTATTTCTACAGAATATATAAAATCTATCTGTATAATAAGCAAGAGTTGGTAGATTGGTTGTCTGGTGATCATTTGGTGTTTTGGGATCTAGGCCTTATGGGACAATATTTTATGAGATTCATTCGTCTGTGGCCTACTACTAATATCTACATCAACTTCTGTGCAGCACAGCAAAATAAAATAGATGGTTATGTGTTAACGATAGTTATGAACTAAAATCTGTTGAACGAATCCATGCATGGTCGCCCTCGATGGACTAGTGGTTAGCATGCTTCTCACTGGACCCAGGGTTCACGGGTTCACACCCAGCCGAGGTCGATGGATCTTTAAGGGTGATAAAAATCCATAGCACAACTTCCTTCAGAGGGGAAGTAAAGCTGACGGTTCCATGTTATACATTTACGGCATATAAAAGAACCTTATGAGCATGAGCAAGATGTTTTGTAAGCAAAATTCATCTGCCATTTCTCTCCTGATTCACTACTAGATGGCTCTAGCAGACAAATCAGGATTGAGTAGATATTGTGCAGAGGCAGTTTGCTTGTCACTCACTATTCATAAAAGCACACTTCAAAGACAAAGAAACCTCAGGAACCTCCCACATGGGAGGAGGCCAAGGCTCAGTTTGGGCTGTTGCTCCATAGAAAAGAAAAGAATCCATGCATGGAAGACCTCAGAGAAATCATTAATTTTGAAATGTTCTAATGTCAGGGAAAAAATACAGTAGTGTAAGCCAGAATCTAGATGTGTGAATGTATCCAAGCCAATGGCAAACATTTTCAGCATCTCCTTAATGTAAAAAGTAATTGTCACCTTTCAGTGTTGGTGCAGTCTCAATATTATCACAGCTAACCAGGTAGGAAAGGCAGCAGTGAACACAATGTTCACACATAGCAGAAGGGCTGTGCCCCATTATAGTAGGCAAATATTTTTTCTGTATATTTGCTTCAACTTGTATTACAAGTTTCACATTTGTTTCAAAATGTACATTGTTGCAGACTCACCTAGTATGTGTGGTACCTCCATACCGGCGGGTGGACCTGACCGATCCAGTTACAGTAAGGCTTGTGGTGGTGTCCAGTGGAAAGACCAGTGAACCCCACACTTTCATATATACCCCTACACTTCAGCCACCAGGTAGGCTTTAGGAGGACAGGTCACAGTCGGGCCGCTTGCTCGGCTGTTTTGTGGACGGACAGCCTAGCATGCAGCTCCCGACCAGGCAGGGTAGATCAACTTGGGGGCTTCTTTGCATGAATGAGTTGAGAGATGAACTGTTGAAATGCACAGCTTGGTCTAGCTTACAGTAAATTTATGATTCAGTGTTTACAAGACGTTATACTAATTTATTAATCTTCACTATTTGTGGCTGCATACATAACCTTATCTCACCCTGCCTGGTCTGTATTCTGCATTTCTGATTAATCATGGCACATGGGGTAGTTCCAGTCTTTTATTTTTATTTTATTATCAAAAGCCTATTCTTTGTTGTTTATTTTTGAGCATCACAAACTCAGTTTTGGAACTATAGTATTTTCCTTATACAATACTCAACATGTCTTTAGGTTGTGCTTTATTCAGTTTTAAAAGTAATTATTATGCATATCTGTTAGTTTATTATGTCGTATTACAAGACGCAAGCCATGAATAACCACTCGGGCTGTCCGTTTGGTACTGAAATGTGTGAATGTGGAGTGGTTTGTATGTGATTGGGTGGTGAGAACAATGTTGCCAGCACTGGAGAAGTATCCATCTTTATTCCTTGAGTTAATACCTATGTTAATTGAACAGTTAATATTGTAGAATTTTCAGCAACATGACTGAAAGATTGTGCCAAAATTTAAACTGTCTATAATTTTTTTTTGACTCTAAATGTAGTTTGACATAAAATTCTGTACATTTATGTTAAGTATATAGATATTACACATTGTAACTGAATTTTTTGCAATTAGCACACAAAGTGTGTAGTGTAAGCTGGCAATGTTGAAAACCAAACCCACTGAATTCTGTAAATCAGTTATGACAGTGATTTGAAATGATAGTTGTGATGAGTAACTGTCATGACTGGTGCTTTCCATATTGGGGGCAAGTGAGCATTTTTACATGTGGATGTGACTGACTGATTGCCGAGCGTACATGCGGGACCATTATGTGTGTGTGCGCATGTGTGAATGATAATTATATGCTCTGCTTGCCTCAACATTTTTAAAAGAACACTGATCAAGGTTCCTGTCAGAAGTATGGTAACTGATAATATTAGAAAATATTTTGGAAACGTGCAGAAAATTTTACTGCAGAAATGTTTGTACATTACTATCTTTGGATTGCAATTGGAAAGTAAATCATCATTTTCTAAGTGTTGGGAAACTTTGATCGACAATTTTGTCAGATTGGCGTAAGATTGCATGTATTAAAAAAGAAACAAAATGTTGAGAAAATATCAGTACTAACAAACTCTTTACTACATAATTCTTAAAGAAATTTATATTGCCACAAGAATTGTAAATTGGCTGTCATAGTTTTTGCTCTTTGTTTCTAGATTTGTTTAGTAAGGAAAGATAGTTTATCATATTAACATACATTTTTAATTGTGACAGATTTAAAGTAAATGCATCTGATGTGGCTTTCTAGTTTTACGCCAGTTGCTGACAAGTATTTTTAATCTGTGGTTTTTTCGTGTAACTTTTCTATGCGTCTGCTTGTTCCCCTCGCAGCAGAATTACAGGAAGTAATTGCTGATTGGAGTTGGCGCCACTTGTCAGGCGAGCGCCAGGGGGTGCGCCTGGGCATCACCCGCTAATAATTCAGGTTCTGTCATCATGGTGACTACTACTACTACTACTACTACTACTACTACTACTACTACTACTACTAATATACTACTACCCACTACACACATATCCACAGCATTGGCACATCACAAGTCATTGCCTTAGATATCACTCATGGGTGTTGGGTCATGTGACTAGGTATTAGGGATCATGCTGACCTCATTGGTAAACTTTGTACTTCTTACCTCAGGTGAAGATGACTCAGTGAGCTTATTAGCGATAATGGACATTGAGGAGTAATATTGGGGATCAAGCTGACCTCAGTGGTAAACTTCATTCTTCTTACCTCAGGTGATGATGACTCAGTGAGCTTATTAGCGATTAAAGACATTGAGGAGTAAAATATTTGCAACTTTTCTACCAGAAATTGTACTATAATTGTTGAGTTTGTAGCTAGGGGTATGCTGGCACATTTCGTATATTGCTTAAAATAGGCAGAAGTGGTTTGTGTGACTAAGACTGCTTCAAGCATAACATGTCAGATGATTTGTGTACACTGATAATATGTACTTCATGATTCCCAACAAACAAATTAAATCTTACCTTCATTATATAAGATACTGGACACAGTACTTTGAATGAAGACAGTATGTGCCATGAAAAAATAGTGCCTTTTAATAAAAATGTACAATGATGTTTCTTCAGAACTGTTTTGTTGCAGTTAATATTAAGATCAAAAGGTGGTGTAAAATAGTGACATTTATAAAAGCGGGTATATTCATTATTTATATTATCTGTATTGACATAATTGAAAATACAGTATTGTGGTTCATATACAGTGTGTTAACCTGATGTCTGGGATAGTTACTGAGTTATATCCAAGAGCAATGATAAATATCTGGGGTGTTCATGTTAGCTTTGTAAATTTTCCAGCATAGGCAAATGACACCAAAGCACTAGAAGACCCAAGATAGTGTTGTGTCCCTCATACACCCACTAGTATGCCTAACTTATGACTATATCACAAAAATATATTTGATACATTTTAGTTATATACAGGCTTCAGCTAGAAGAATAGGCATATAGTGGAGAAGCATTGTCATGACCATACAGTGAGTATGCACCAGAAAACAAACACAGGACATCAAGTCCGTCAGCATGTGCAGTATCAGAAGAACACCTGAGACATCTGTGTAGTATTTCCAAACCAAAGTTTAACACAGTTGATATTATTTTAAATTTTGCAGAGACAGTATATGGAGCCTTGTATAGATTGAGGATAAAATTGAAGATTGATGGAATTGGATGTTTCAGATTATGCCTTATTTTAAGAACATTTTAAAGGAAATTGAAGAAAAAAGTTGTATGAGAAAAGTGAAAAATTGCAAAATGAATATTTAATTTCAGTGCAGTAAAGTTTGAAACAAATATTGCTTAAATGATACTGAAAAGTAGACATATAATTCTAAAAGCTTAAATTAACAAAAAGGAGATAAAAAAGTAGTGTTTATTTTTGTTTTATTATTGACTATGTCTTTTTTTTCTTGCTTTGTTACAATTGTTTCTCAATCACTGTTTTCTTCTGTCCGCAGTTCCGTCGGTTTGGGACGTGGACTTTGCCAGGCGCGTGGCATTGTGTGCGGTGTATTGCGACTTTTCAGGCTTGAAGCTGGCTTGAAGCAGAGCAGAAGTGATAATGTTCCCTCAATGCTAGACTGGCAGTGCTTTGTGTGCAGTGTGTGTGGACGTGTGGATGTGTGTGTCTGAAATGTGCTTGTCCTGCAACAGAGCCTGGGGAGGGGGGACTTGGATATGTTCAGGTTGGGTGGAATGTCCATCAGCCTGTGGGTGGGTGGGGTTGTTGAATGGATGCAGTGGCCAGCAGCCTTCCCATCTCCCATGTTCCTACAAAGCAGGGGTCCCCCACATTTCAAATTTATGAGAATCCCATGGATTCGCAGATTTCCCATCTCATTATTCCCAAAGTAAATGCCTTCCAATCCATTTTTATCAATGGTATATTTGTATTGTGCTGTGTTGCCCTGTTCTGGTGCACTCTGCACTCATCTGCCATAGAAATGTTTTGATGAAATGCACTGCCTGTGGTTGTTCTGTTGTAGTTGTCTTCATGCAGAATTTAATCTTTGCCTCAGTCATTAGGACTTGGTGTTGCTGTGAAATTGAACTGTGATAGGTGGCAAACAGGGTTAGGTTGCATGATATGAGCATGCTGGCTCCATCTATGTACATGGTAGTTTCAAACAGTTCTAGGACAGGCGCAAATACAGCAACGTTTTGACATAGGCATAAGCCTGACTTGAACACCAATGATTCACAGTTCACTCAGTTGCCATTTTGCTAGTGATTATGATAGGCCTCAGAGGAGAGAGCAGTGCTTGGTAGATTTCTATTAGGGAAATGGATCTCATTCAGTAGTGAGTTATTTACAGATTTTGCCAGCTATTTGGCAACATAAAGTGAAGTTAAGTAAAGCTGTCCCACTATACACCATGTAGGTGCTTGGGGGGGAGAGGATGTATAGCTCCTACTCATTCTTGACTGTTATTGAGGCCCTTCCATAAAAGTTTTCATTGCTTCATTTCGTCTGCCATCAAGCAAAAAATTAAATGTAGGTTTAATATTGTGACCATAGTGTTATTTAATGTTCTACAATAATCACTTCAACTTCAAGTGTTGCAAGGGGGATCAATTATCACACAAAATTAAGTGATTGAGTTGTTGATACCTCAGAAGTGTTCATGGTTTTCATGCTAAAACTATTCTAGAGATATGCTGATACCAAGTTTCTATACTGTCCACTGATTGGTTCTAAAATTATACTAGACATACACATGGACATGACTCCCCTTAGGTATATCTTTCCTTATAGAGTGTAGGCTGTTGAGTTTAGTATGGGTCCATTGGTCTTGGCAACTCAATGATTTGTAAGTACTACATGGTAATGAAGATTAACTTTGTGTGTATTTCCCTGCCTGTGTAGTTTAAAATAAACCAGATATGAATAAATTGCATGTTAATGCATGATGTAACATTTGCATATCTGCTGCCAGTAATTGCATGGAATTATTATAAACAGCTTGTAACATGGTACATTCTCTCATGACTGGGACTTTTTGTGTCTGTCACAGGTGATTTTGTATTTCCAAGCTTGAATCCCTGATGCTGTAAACTCTGCTTGCAGTATGCTTTGAAATTGTGTAGAGTGGACCTAGCAGTAGTCTGAATGAAGTTGTCCCAATTAGATCACTACGAATAAAATTTTGAAATTACTCTTCAGTTGTTATATACATAATGCATTGGCATGAACTGTTAATGTAATATGCTTAAAATGATCAACACTTCATAATTGTTTTCATATATTTAGTTCACATCAGACATGGGTGTGTTGTATTCAGAATTAACACTAAGATTCACTCTAAATATATTCAAGCCATTTATCTACAATGGGTATTTCCATACCCATTATTATATTTATGCACTGACAACCTACATGGCTTCATAACTCAGGAGACCGCAGTCATCAAATATCATGTTCTTAGAAAAGAGGATTGGGAGAAATTAATTGGGAATCTTGACATGAGACTGTAATCCTGGTTGCATTGAACAAGGAGCATTGCCTATGGGCATTTCTCTGTTGTGCTACAGATAGCAGCACTGAATTCAGTGATTAGCAGTGGAATAACTTGACATACTTTGCATATTTATATGAAAACAAGCAATCATGGGGCCATGTTACCAAAATATATTAGTTAGTAACAGAATGAGAGACTCAACATTACTAATACCAAATCCTGCCAGTGGATATTATCCTGAACCAGTTAAGGCTGTTTCACATTCTTATGAACTGTTCCTTCCTCATTTGTCATGGATTAGGTCTCTTGGCCTGTCATGTATACATTGACACTGAGATATACCTGAATGGTGGATGTTTAAATCAGACTCCCATTGCTTAATTTTTAAACCATAAATTAACAGAATTTATAACATTTGCTTCTTGACTTCTTGCCATAGCCAAATTTAGCCACAACATTCATCGTTGTCGTCATCATCCATCGATGTTTCCATCGGTGGGTCATAAGACAACGCTTTCTGCATTCTGCATTTGCATTCTCTCTTCCTTCATAGAACTCATTTTGTATTGAGTCATTTATTCTTACTCTTTATTGTACATCTTCCTTCACTTGGCCTGTACTGATGTTCTTGTCCTCCAGTAGTTGTTTGATTTTTTTTATGCTGACAGAACAATCTTGTGGTCTATACATTTTGTAACACATGCCCACACCTAATTAATCAATGTGGGAGAGATATTTACAAATACAATGAATGTGTTGCTGTTTGCATTAATTTCTCAAAGCCAGTCTTCAAACACTTTTTGGTGGTATGTTTTTTATTTTGATATTACCATTACTTTTATGAATGTAACTTAATACATATACACGTATGACCTGGGCAGTTGTGCCTAGAAGCCTGTTAACTAACTTTAGAATTCTCATTATTACTCATAGTTTGTAACCGTGTACAGTGGCTTGTTTTCATATAAATAAGTTGGTTATGTGGGGGAAAGGGGGGGGGGGCTGTTGTCATGAACTATAACATGTTCATTCTGAATTATCAGTGTCAGAGAACCACATATCATAATATTTTGCACTCATTATAATGAGTTTTTTAAATATTGTTGGTAGTTTAAATATATTGCTTTAGTTGACTGCATTATGAACAGCAGATCTAACCATCTTTCTGTGTGTATGTAAACGTTGTTTTAAAGCCACTTCCAAGTACATTGACCCACTAGCATACTGTTTTGTAATATATATGTGTAGAATAACCTTAAAATTGATTCAAAATTTAAAACTCTTTTATATTCATCTTGGAACTTCAATGCTACTTTGTTATCGAATATACAAATTATTTTGAAACATTGTATATGTTATGCAGCCATCGAGTGGCTGATGTCACCCAAACATGCAGATGTGTGCCATTGGTGTAACAAATTGTGTTGTTCATACTTTTCAAATTCTGAATTTTACCTGTTGTTATCTTCTAAATAATTTAAGGAAATATTATTAAGAAGGAGGAAAAAACTGACTTGTTCTCGGACACATTTGTGAAGAGTTTGAATAGTGAGAGGGTCTGTAGCCCCCCCTCCCCATAAGTGCTCCTTTGTGTGATGTTCTCATTATTGAGAATTGGGTTGTAGTAAAAATTAAATTAGGGGACCCCAAGAACCATTCCAAAAAATGAATTTTCTTAAAAATTTGTTCTTTCACGCGGTAGTTAAAGTTCTTGTGTAGACATATTAATTCACTTTTAATATGCCTTTCACAATATGCTTTTCTCTTGAAATGTCATTCGTTAGAGTGTGCTTCAGTGATAAAATTATGAAAAATGTAATCAAAGGACATTATGTATTTTGTATCTGATGTCTTATCACCCACCTTTCACCACCCGTGTCAATGGAATTTTGAGGGACTTGTCATGTATCAGTGTTGTAGAGATAAAAGGTGTATGAGAACTGGAATGTGTAATGACCATAGTAGCCATTATGAAATTAGATAATTCAAGGCTGGAATGAGCTCACCCCCTTCTAATCAGTTCTGTGTTTACAGTGCTGTGTTCCCAGCATTGTGGGGGTTCTTCTCTCTCTCATTTTTTTCTTTTTCTTTCTTTTTTCCCCACTCATACACATGCAGTTACATTATCCTGCCATGGCACTGGTGTGCTATGAATTTTTGGTATCCATTTTTCACATTAAACTTATGTCTTGAGTAAAACTGTTGAACTCATTGTGATGATATGGAAGATAACCTGAAATGTCCTCTTGGTTGTTACAACACCATTGAAGAGGCGCTTATTATGAAGTTTAATCAATTAAATCTTCTCAGGCAATCAGCTGCATCAACTGGTTACCCTAGAAAACCAACGTCCTCATCATCAGGGTTCTGATGATGGGGACAGCGTTGGCTCCCGAAACGTCGGTTTACTACGGTAACCAGTTGACGCGGCTGATTGCCTGAGAAGATTTTATTGATTATACTCTCCACGAAAGTGTTAAATCCTATATGAAGTTTGATATTAGAAATAAATGGAATGTCATTGAACTGTTTACAATGTTTTAAGTTCTTCTTAGATATTTGTGAGCAATCTGAATGTTTTGGTGGTATGAATGTCCACAAAGTACAAGAAGCATGTGGTGTACATCATAATATGGTAAACATGAGGTCCCAGTTGCAGCACAAAATCACCACTCATACACAACATGCAAACATAACTATATTTTGTTATAAACTAGATGATTGATTGAGATACAGTTTCCTTTTTAAAAATTAAGCCTAATGGCATAGTGTGTTGAACATAAATTTGTACTAGTATATATTCTATCTGTACATTGAATAATAATTTGAACTGCAGAGAAAGGTCTTCCATTTATTAAAATAAAATAAAATGGCAAAGAAAATTGATTTTAAGGGTATGGTTATAATAACAAAAACCTGAGGAATGCAGTGGTTAAAGTATTTCATGGATCCTGTTACAAACGATTGTATTACAGCAAGTGGAAGTGAGAAATCCTGCACCCCTGAAGCACTCTGCTTTGCTATTTGTAGGATTTTGCTGGAACCTTGAAATGTCTAATTTTGTGATGGCTACTATAATTAATGACTGCCAAATCAAGATAGCTTGGTAATATTATTCCCAGTATTTGAGCTACTATTGTGAGAAAAAATCAGTTGTAATTTAAAAGTCCTTGTTGTTCAAAAACCTAAATGCAGTACTGACGATTCTGAAACCTAGGCATTTCAGATGGCTTTCTTTATCTGTTTGTAATTGTCAACTGTAAAGGCTTGTAGTGTCATTGGTTTATATCCAATTTCAACATTTGATTTGACATAGGCTGTTATCTCCTCATGTCTTCTATCTGTGTTATAATAAGCACTGAGGTGTGACATGTTTTGGGAATATTTAATGACAAATTTTTACTCAAAGATTTTATCTGTTTCTTTTAAACTCATGGTAGGATATGGTGATTAGTGATTTGTAAAGATGAAAATGCAGTCACCCCTTTACCAAACCACATTGTGGGGAGGATGAGTCGTCAGCTTCATGCTCCGGCCGTCTTCACCTCAGGGGAAAGCACCCGTTGGACGGGAGGCTCACGGTAGGCCTCAGAGACATTCTGGACATATTGATGATGAAAAAATTTGCTTTACAACTACCAGGGATCAAACTATGGCCATGCAGTTTGTAGCCAGTCACCTAACTGAAGCATACATGTCCTTATGATTTCCTCTCCAAGTGAACCAGCACTCTGGCTGCTGGACTCAGCACCACATGCCTGGCTACGGGGTTTAAGTGTCAGAACACATGGAGTGTGCTTGGGCATGTATGTGTGTGCACATGTGTGACTGAGTGTATGGGCACAGGCATTGTGAGTCGTGCCACCTGAGCCGGAAGACACGCAGAAGTTTAAAGAAAGAAGTAATGTTATTTCTGATCATTTGCTCTACTTCAGTTGGTGTTCAGAAACAGTTATTTTTTATTTTAATTTTCTGATGTTGAAGGGAGTGTGGTATATATTCAAAATAGCTCCCAAATATAATTTTTTATTATTTTCTCTAATTAAATTAAGAGGGGGGTGAGACAGTTTTTGGTCATGAACCCCGCTCGGGTGGCTGCTTCCCTGCTACTCTTTTTTTCCAGGTTCTTCAGATAAAATTTTATTATTTATGGGCATTAGATTTATGTATTTCATTGTGGTTTTTATCATCTGCAGCTGTGGTTCCAGGAGGCACGCAACCATGCGTTACACTGGTACAGTCGGCAGTATCTCATCGTAAGTACACATTTCTAATACCAAGGCTGTGTGCATGTTTGTGTATGGGGTGTATTATAATCAGAACTGTACAAGGACAGGAATTTTGTTACATCCTTTGTTCTCTAGTGCTCATTTCATTCCCTCTGTTTTTGCCTTCCCTGAACAGCCAGGATTTTCTGAGTACAGAATTCCATAAATACAGCTTTGATCTGTTATTCACTTAATAAACTGCATTTGCCCACAGTCTCACCTTGCTGTACACAAATAGTTTTGTAAGAGATATTAGAAACTTTGTCGCCCTCGGTGGACTAGTGGTTAGTGTGCTTGCCACTGGACTCGAGGTTCGCGGGTTTAAACCTGGCCGAGGTCGATGGATTTTTAAGGGTGATAAAAATCCATAGCACAACTTCCTTTGGAGGGGAAGTAAAGCCGGCGGTCCCATGCCGTATATTTATGGCATGTAAAAGAACCTTATGAACATGATACGAGATGTTTTGTGAGCAAAATTCAGCGGCCAAGTCTCTCCTGATTCACTATTAGATGGCTTTAGTATACAAATCAGGATTGAGTAGAAATTGTGCAGAGTCAGTGGGCTGGTCACTCACTGCTCGTAAATGCACACTTCAAAGACAAAGAAACCTCCCATAAGGGAGGAGGCCAAGCCTCGACTTTGGACTGTTGTGCCATAGAAGAAGATTAGAAACTTTATGATAAATGTTAAGATCAGAGAACAAATATAATGTATTCTTTAATTTGTAACTTACAAGTAATAATAAGTATCAGATGTGAGTCTTTCATGGCCTTTGAAGTAAGATTGTGATTCTCTGTGTTGCAACATTGTGTAGTCATGTGTCAATACCTCGTAGATATTTGCTAGATCTTTATTAAGGATAGAAGATGAATTGACTTGGCATATCTGAAATATCGATAATCATCTGCTTAACTACACATATTTGGTGTTACAACCAAGATCACAGTTAAACTGATGTCATTGTCCATCTTTTTGGTTGTTACACCATGTAGGCTTAGTTTCTACATACAAGTCAGTCTTCAGCCCTGAATATGGAAGCAGCATGTTCATCTGAAACAGTATCTGCTCATACCAACAAGTCCACATGACATAGTGACCCAGAAGATCAATATCAGCATCTGCTCTGCTGTGGGAACTGAAATCTCATATGAAAATAAATGTATTTATTTAAATACACGGATTAAATGTGCTCACCACTTTTCTGCATCAACTTAACATCATGGTAGGCATATTTTTTGAGCCCAAACTGATTGGTTACCTGTCTTGTTTCATTCATAAGGTACATCTTCAAGTTTTGTTCAGGCAGTTGTCTGTGTTGAAGTTTTAAGGGTCTGCACACTTTTGTATGCCTTTCACCTGATAGCTAATGATCATTATCATATCACATTTGAAGCCACACAACCTCTGAAGTTGGTGAAGCATTAAATAACTCAAAAATCTGTTGTCATTGTCATTTTTAATATTACATGTATGTATCTGAATACCATGGGTGCCAAAATAATAGCAGCAATAGGAAAATAAAATATTGTTAATAATTTAAGCAAGATTTTATAACAATAGACAGATGTAGACATTTCAGAGGTGGGTCTAAATGATAAATAAGCTATTGCCAGCTATTTCCAGGACAGTGTATACCAAACACTACACAGAAGCTACTTTGTGTAACCATGTGTTTAGCTTTCTAAACAAATTACTGTAACGTATGTACAGTTATAGTTAGTTTATGTTTTGTGCATGAAGCTTATGTTACAGAATGCCCTAACCTTTTATTTCTTTTAATGAGGGAGGAGGGAATGGTAAAGGGGGAAAAGGAGATTACACAGCAAATTTGGGGGGGGGGGGACCTCACCTTTCGATGCTGTCTCAAGCAACAAATTCTTTTCATACTGGAAGAAAGAAACGGAGGTACTGTATTTCATTATTTGTAAGACACCTGCTTGATTTATTACAGGTTTCAGGAAAAAAAATCATATTGTCAATATTCAAACATAAAACTTCTTTTTATTAATACTTTTGGAATGTTTGTTGATATCATTGTGTTTACTGTCCCATGACTAGGGTTATGGGCATGAAGATTTTCTTTGCACTGTAGTCTCACAGTATAATTTTTCAGTATTGATTCTTAGACGTAATTAAATGTGATGCACCCTGATTTTAGAAATGTAAAATGTGAAAAGAGGTGCGTCTTAAAATCAAGGGAATATTGTATTTGGTCACCCATTCAGAAGGAAAACAGTATGAGAATATTTGAGAACAAAGTGCAAAGGAAAATATTTGCTTAAAACTAATGGGAAGTAAGTGGTTGAAGAAAATTACTAAATAAGGAGTGTCATAATTTATATTTCTCATGTAGTGTTTTAGGGTGATTAAATCGGGAATGAGATGGACAGGAGATAATGAAAAGTGCACATAAAATTTTAGTACAGAACCAGAAGGGACAAGACCACTTGGAAACATAAATTTATATTGGGAGATAATAATAAAATTTATCTTGCAGAAATGGGGTTTGAATAAATGGACTGAGTTGAAGTGGCTCATTGCTGGGACAGTGGAGAGAGCTTTGGTAATCAAGATTTGGGACCTTTAAGAGTGGGAAATTTCCTGTCCATTTTTTCTTTTTGTGATGGACACTGCATCATGGTCCAGATATCCTGCAAGTTTAGAATAACTATAATTTGTGAATTATGAAGATAAGCCATGTAGCCCTCACCTGAATAGAAAAGTAAATCTTTACCACCAACTAAAGAGCTGGGATCATTCAGTCAGTTTAGAGACTGGCTGTGAGCTGAACAACCAGGGTTTTGATTCCCATAACTCTTAAGTAAAAGTCCTCCAAAAAGTTAAAGTTGTTTCATATATTAACTTCTTGCTGTCCGAATTTGGCTGTGACCAATAACGATTGTTGTTACAGCAGGTGCAGAGGTGTCGCATGTATTTGCCAGGTCAACACTTGTGCCAGGTTCTGGGCTTATGCTGCCTGATACTGGGCCCAACCCCATTGTAAATGGGACTGCAAAGTCCAGCCCCAAGAAAAGTTAGTATCTGTCCATTGAAGTATTTCATAACTGTAGTTACTAAGAGACAGGGTCACTTTGATTTTTAATAAGTTATAAACATGTGTGAAGAAGAAGAAGAAGAAGAAGAAGAAATTACATGCAAATAATAAAATGAGCATGAGCAGTGACACAGTGGAACAAATGAATGTAAATTGCAATTTGTCTTCAGTTATAAATTTAATTGAAGTGGTAGCTGGTTCCGAAGAAACTTAAACTTATTAAACATTTTTCCACTTAAAACTTTGTTTGAACTGTAAGGAATGAAAATTAAAAGGTTTCAAATTTGGTCAAAAGTAATGTCAGTTCTGTAAAAAAAATACCATTTGGAATTGTTCTAAACACATACCATTCTATTAGTATACAGTTTGAAAGTATGGCAGTACTACAGAGTAACATGATGTTATGGGTGTGGTTTTATTCACATTTAGGTCTTATCAAACTCATTGAGTGGTTATTTGTTTTTTGGAATCATCTAATGACCAATGTATTTACTTTGTGACATATCTGGATCTTTAGTTTTATGACAAGTGACTTGAATAAGAACCAAGATCTGTACAATGTGAAGTTTCGTATGTTTGTATGGTATGTGTACATTCAGTGTCAAGTCTGTTTAGCTAGAATTGCCATTTCATCACTTGATTTTCTATGAGGTCAGGAGAAGAACGTCTCCCTGAGTTTGATAACAATTTTGCTACTCTAGTAACTCAGTGTTTTGGGCAAAGACCCATCCATATGTCTGTACTTTGGTTCATATAAATATATTTTTTTTGTGGTTTTTATATTGGAATGCATTTTGTAATGTTGCCAGTTGGAGAGACAGAGGTCCACCCTGTCATGATGTGGCAGTCATCATCTGTTCTTCCTCTCCAAGACACCTCAAAAGTGGATAACAGAGCTCTAGAACCAAAGGAACTAGACCGAGTTCTGAGGGGAAGGATGATGCCTCCACCACTGTTACCCATTGGAACACGCAGAGCTTCCTCAAACTTGCGTTTGATAGTGCCAGACGCAGATCCAGCCTCTCTGATGCCAGAAAAGCTGAAGACTGAGCTGACAGAAGAAACGAATGGCAAGATTCCTGAAGACGTGAAGGGCATTGATCTGCGCATGAAGCCTATAGCAACTGTGGCAGATCTGTCCAGCACTCAGTCACCAACCATGGCTACATTTCGACAGTTTGTGACAGGCAGTACCAGTGTGCCTCTCCCAAACCAGAGTGCACATAGTGTGGAAAAATACTTATCAAATCTTGAACATGCCACTGACACTTCTGTGGTCGCAAAACCTACTTCAAATCACCTAGCATCATCATGCAAGATAGCTGACCCTGCAGCTCCCACTGCCTCTCAGATTTGTTTGAGTACACACACAGGCAATCCTTCACAGTTTGACTCAACCTCAGCACTGTTTGGACAGCAACAGTCTGCCACTGCCACTTCTACAGGCACCGTAGATCCGAAACTTCAGTATGCAAGTGACTTACCCATGCCTCTGTTGTACAGTGCACAGACAACTGTCACAATGGCAGGGCAGGAGTGTAAACCTCAATTTTCTGTTGAACAGGCAACTCTACTGCAACAGGCCAGTGCAGTTCAACGCAAGTCCATGTTTGATAATACATTAACCATCACTCCCACTGCTGAGTCTGTTATTGGGGGTATGAGACCCATAATGATAATGCAGGAATCTCAGAATGTTGAAAATCAGATATCAAGTAACAATGCCTGTTCCACTCTGGTTGAATCCCTGGATCAAAATGTATCCATGATGAACACTGTGTCTGAGGCCCCAGATCTTTTGCAGACATCATCTAGTCTGATGTATGGCAGTCCTGAGAGAGGTGCCATAAGTTCTCTTCATCCTGCTTCAACACAGTCTGCAGAAGCAAGCGTGCTGGATAGTTTGTCCAAAGGGAGCAACTCTGTAGGAATTGATAATAGCGTTCATGATTCCTCCCTGCTGTCTGCTCCACAACCAATATTGGGCGACCAGATGTTGGCAGTTACACAGCCATCCATTATTACTTCTTCACAGAGTGCAAGGTTAGATGCATTGGTCTCCTCAGCAATGAACAGTCATGTCTTGGGCTCAGGTAACCATGTCCAGTCTTCAGACACCGAGAAGTTGGATGCACTGGTGAACTCTGCAGCTGTTAGCCACATGATACCTACTTCTGCAGATGACATCATGTTGAGCACACCGGTTCAGGCACCTTTGAGGCAGCAAGATGTTGCATCAGCAGACCAGATGGCTTCCATTCCTATCAAAAAAATGCCAGATGCTGGTTTGGGGAGTTTTGATCTCATGCCAACTGAGCATTCTAACACTCAGATTTCTCAGGAGAGTGCTCAGCTGCTGAACAGTGCTATGTCAGCAGCCTTGAATGAGCATCTGCTTGCCACATCCAGTCAGGCTCAAGTCCAGGCAGATGCCCAACTTAGCATCACCACTCCCACTGTGTCATCCATCCCTGGAAGCACAGTTTATACCAGTCATGGCCAGACCTCTCCTGTTGTCTTGAAGGACCTGATCCTGAACTCTTCTATTGCAACCACTGCTGAACGTCAAATTCTTGTTGCACGTCCTACATGCACCTCACCTGCTGATGTCAAGAACATGATTCTGGGATCACCAGATGCTTTGCCCCATAATCAAATTCTTGCTTCCAGTTCTACATCGCCAATTGCTGTAAAGAAAATGGTTGCTGTGGCATCACCTGAAAGTCAGGTGCTTGTTGCTGGAACTGCTAATGCTCCCATTGAAAGCATAATGAATGCATCTATTACACAGCAGGGGAATGGCCAAGTTATTGTTACCAGTCCCGCTTGTACTTCGCCGATAGCCATTAAAACCATGATTCTTGAATCTGCGACATCTGATCCTTGCTTGGCAAACCCTGCCCACACTTCACCTATTGCAGTAAAAACCATGATTTTGAACTCTCAGCTTTCAGGCAGTATGGAAGAGAGTTTGCTGCCTATGGATGAGAGTTTGCTGCCAAGAACAACCCAGTCAGCACACATATCTGAAGAGAATGCCAGGCTTGATGCGCTGGTTCAGTCCACCCTGAATGGCCATGCCTTTGTATCAAGTGCAACACAAGTAACACCAGCAATGGATATTCACACAGGGGATGGCATCACAATTTTGTCCCAACAGGCACATGTGCAGCAGTCATGTAAAGCCCCCTCCACAGCCTCACTCATTTCACAACCTCCAGCATGCATAACCACACTTGTCACCCAGCCATCAGAACCCTCATCTCATTTGTCTGTTCCAGCTGTAACAACAGGTGATGCATTAATCAACACAATATTTACAACAAGTAGGAGTCCCACAAACCAAAACTCTCATGTAGAAACTCACTGTTTCAACAATGAAGAGGTTGTGATAGTTGGAACAGACTCCCAAACACCTTGTTGTACTGGTGGCAGTGCTTTGCTCCATGCCTCTCAGTTCACAACTGCATCTTCCAACTCACAGAGCTTACTTACTGGAATAACAATGTCATCTAAAGTGGCTGAAGAACTGGTGGCACAAAGCAGAAATAGTTCTCCAGGGTTTGTCACCCAAATGCTGCTTGGTCTGGCAGCAGATGGAAAGATGAAGAAGGATTCAGAAATTTCATGTATGTCTAGGGATAAGACTACAGAGTCCCTGCAGTGTCAGACAAACTTTTCTGAAAGTAAGTTACCTGAAGCAAGACTCTTTGCTGCACCTGAAATGCTGAAAGCAGCAGTAGGAGATGTACCAAATTCATGCGGCCAAAGTCAGGTCACAGCAATGAATGGCTTAGTGATCACTAAGGAGCAGTCGCAGGAGGTGCAGGAGCAGCAGTGCAAGCGGCAGCAACATTCCGCCATGCCGCAGACCACAACATGTGTGACAGAGCCTACTGCAACCACTCCTGGACATCCTCAAAAGAAGGGTGAAGAGGGGATGGTACCACAGGAGCTCACGCAGATGTCTGAGAATGATCTTCTGAGCTACATCAACCCTAGTGCTTTTGACCAAGGTTAGTATTTCATTGCAGGTATAGGCTTACCATGGAGCTGTGTAATTTGGATTAATAAATTGCTTACCACACACATCTCTTTCAATTATGAAAGAAATTACAGAAGTATAAATTTCGCTAGAAGAGATTTTGAAAACATTTCAGATATGTGACAGGACATGTTGAAGGAATTAGATCTGATGTAATCTGCTTAACAAATGATGATAAGAGTACTGCATATGAATATTTTACCAGAAATAACCAAAATTTGTCTAAAGTAATTTGTCCTAGGCAAAACTAGAAAGTCCTGTCACTGTTAGGTTAGGTTACATTAGATATTCTAGATTTGCCTAGGGCAAACTATATAACAAGTCATTTTATGGAAGTGAGATGCTTTTGTGACAAGGAATAGGATGGGGAATGCAGGAACCTTTTAGATCATTGTAGTTTCATATGGTTGTCATGAAGTCATGTTGCATGTGGGTAAATAGAGGGAAACCTGACAATTCTTGACACTTATTGGTGTAAATTATGGTGTTATTTTAGGTGGTGGTTATTTTAACTGTCTGCTTGGTTTCAGTGTGAATGGTCAAAGTCAAATGGTTCTCAGCCGCAGTATTACTACTTCGTGGGACTCATCTTATGGTTAGATTCCATACGAAGGGTAATTGCTTTTTGTTGCAATATTGTGTATGTAACTTTGTATTATAGTAATCTCAGCTGTAAGACCATGCCAGTACAACCTGAAACTAATTGTGTACGCTTTGAATTTGTATAAACTGATTGTGGGAGTGGCAAAGTGTTGGCAGGCCATTGTACAGTGCATGTAATGCAGAGATCAGTGATGTACAGTCATAGATCAGAGATTTGTAGTATATAGTGAAAAACATATTTTTTACAAATGGTATGGTTACATGGTAAGACTGGGAATTAGGTTGGTATTGCATTTTGAGAGGCAACAGAAGGTAGGTTTAGTGCAAACAGAACTGACCCTTGTAACGGATCCAAAGGCTAACAGAACTGGTTCCTTAGTGCAAATGTAAGGCTAATTCAAACAGTTTCTCACTTCTCAGTTTCCTTTGTTGATAGACTGATATTGTTTTATTTAGTTCAGGTTTTGCTCAATGTATCTCAGTTGCTATTGTTAGCATTAACATTAAGATGTATATTGTATATTGAGAGAAGTGATAGGTGTATAAATGGTCACATTGTGGTATTCATACAGCTTTGCTAGTGTGTTAATCAGATTAGATTATAAAGAAAGGGTCGGTATTTTTTTAAATGCTAAACCTTCATTGTTGGTTCAAAAGTACATTTTTAATGACTGTTGTAGATAGTTGGTCATGTTTGTTAAATGTTTTTATTTTTGTTGATGAGTGTACAACATATTGTGTGTTGACTGCTAAAAATATGTAATACACAAGTCTGTGTGATGCATGTATTTCTGATTGCAAAAATGGAATCAAATAGTGTGTGACGGGAAATGGGCAGTCTGACACTGTGTCTGACTTAGAATTATGTTCAAACCATACCAGTAGATATTAATGCATTCGTTATCCCTCAGAAGTTTCATCTACAGATTATATTAAAAATACAAAAGAACACTGCAACAGACCATCATATGTTTGTGTGTCATAGTTGTTTTAGTTCCAAAATTGTTGCAATTAGACTTGATTATGCAGTGTAAAGTGATGCTTATTCACATCACAGGAATAAGTATTTGTCTGTTATATGGGATTTCTTTCTTTCTTTATTTATCATACTCGGTACTCTGAACATGGCCTTATCTTACTGAAAATGAATTCAGATTATTTATTCCTGTCATTTTGGAAATGTCACATTTTTGGAACAGTATCCAAAATGTTTTACAACCTTTTCCCTTTGGGAAATGAAAACTTTGCCTTTCGTTCAATGAAAGGTTCCAGCTTGCCTGCTTTTCTGTGTTCTAGCGTTATAAGAATCTATATATAAAATGCAAAAGGTACTATTGAAAAATGGCTTTATAAGTATATTACAGAAATAAAACTTGTTCAGAAGTATGTCAGGAGAATTATTTGATTACTCCTGGTGCTACTTGTAATTCAGTAGTGACAATAACTAAAGTCAGTAATTCCCTCATTCATATGATGACTGAATGTAGAAGTAATCTTCAACTTGGAAGTGCATCATGGGAACCTTTTCTGAGTCATTTCAGTCGCATCCACATTATCATGTTTCCAAGAACTATTTTAATAATACGATCTTCCTGTCTTATACAGAATGATCAAAAAGTCATGTAGCCCATACCTGACACGTGTTCTATTTGTGAGAAAATAAACTACACTGAAATCAGAAAACAAAAAACAATATTATATCAAGTGTTGGAAATGTTCATCATGGTAAGCGATTCACTTTTTTCCTGATGTTTGATGCAACCTGGTGAAGCGTTTCTGCAGTGACATTTGAAATGCACAGCTCTATATTTTGTTTAAATTCTTCTAATATATGTACATTGTTTTTGTACAAAACCCCCCAAAGATAAAATGTCTATACCCCTCAAATGAAGTATGTAAACCATCTGTAGTACTGAAGTCATTTTTCCTTATCAGTTTGTGTATGAAGTTTTAAAATCTTTCTATAGTTCGCCTCTGTAATCTTTAGACTTGTGGGGTGAAGGAGGAAAGATAGTGCCAGCCTTTAACACTTCAGACTTCCTGCATTCCTTGCAAATCTCAAGATTACAGTCGCATACTGTAGTTTTATATATACACTTTTGTAGGATAATCCAGTCTGAAGAGATGACTTTTATGGAGAGCATAACAAAGCTTGACAGATATCTTCTGAACTATTACCATTTAACACTGAAGGTTGGCTGAAATAGTTTCTGTCATGCATAGTTCCTATGTCACAGAAATGGTTCACTAGACAAGATACAGTTAATTTGTTTGGCACAAGAGATGCCAGGTAATGTTTAATATTGAACACTCACTTATAAAAAAAACTCATATTTGCACTTTGACTGTTTGAAGACAACTGATGGACTCATTTCTAAACTGCCTCTCTTTCTATTGTATGAAATGTACCATGGTGTCTCCCGTGCTCAGGTATCATCAGACCATCTCTTCATTGGTACTTGCTCCACTTGTGTTAACGATAGTTACTTAGAACATAGTGTTTACCATAGAACCTGGCAATTCCACCAAGTAGTCTCAAGGTTTTCTTGGTACATAATGCTGTCTAATCAGTTCTGCTGGAATTTGATCAGTCTCTGGCAATTAATTCCCTTTCAACAGCATATTCAACTTCATGAAAACTAGGCTTGGCTAGTGTGGAAGTACTGCAGGTACCTAAATTGTGTGCATTTCAGTCTACCTAACATAATTAACATTGTGTATTTAATAGTTTATAAAGACATTTAAAAACATATTCAAAATATTGTGGGAATCTGTAAGTAGATAGCTATTTAGTGTGTATAGTAGTCTACTTCTTTATGAAGTACTCTGAGATGGAGGCCTTTAAATCTGCAGACGCCATTACAGACAGTCACTTTGCAACGCACAGTTGACATACTTCTTATGGCAAGGAACTTAGAACACTAAATATCAGTAAATTTATAATGAGTATTTTTATTTATCAACATTGCTTGTTAATTATATAAACAAAAGATTTACATTAAAAAAGTTGTTTACAATGAAACTTCAATCAGATATGAAGAGATGAAAGATAATTGGATCTTACGCAAATGAACATTAGATTAGTTATTTCACTGCAAATTCAAATCTACGAGGGTCGCTCATTAAGTAATGCCCCACATTTTTTTCCTCAGAATATATTTATTCAAGATGGCTGAAATTTGGTGACAATATAAATCAATGTTTCCTTTACACATACTATTTTTCCACATAGTCCCCATCAACTTGTACGGCTTTACGCCATCGTGGAACAAGTGCGTGCATGCCTTGCCGGTACCAGCTCTTGTCCTGTGCACGTAGCCATGTCCTCACTGCTTGAATCACGCTCTCGTCATCTTCAAATCTTGTTCCGCGGATAGCATCTTTGAGTGGCCCAAAGAGATGAAAGTCGGAGGGTGGATGGGGCAGCACCGTCCAACCCAATTTGGTGATTTCTTCCCGGGTTCTCGGACTTGTGTGAGGGCGTGCATTGTCGTGCAGGAGCAAAATTTCTGCTGGATGCTTGTGAGGCCGAACTCGTCGAAAACGCTTCTTGAGGGTTTTCAGGGTCCTGATGTACGCGTCTGAATTGATGGTCGCACCTCTTGGCATCACATCCACAAGAATGACCCCATCACTGTACCAAAAGACAGTCATCATGACTTTTCCGGCGGAGGGAGTTGTCTTGAATTTCTTCTTTCTCGGTGATAGAGGATGATGCCACTCCATTGACTGCCTTTTTGTCTCTGGCTCAAAGTGGTGTATCCAGGTTTCGTCACCTGTAATGATCCCTCAGCATCAAAACGCTTCCAACAATTCAGAAGAAATCGTTTTCCTTTGAATCCTGTGGTCTGCTGTGAGACTTCGTGGAACCCATCTTGCGCACACCTTCGAATATGCAAGAGCCCGGATAATTGCAATCACACTTCCATTGCTGACTGAAAGCTGTTGGGCCAATTGTCGAGTTGTGATGCGCCGATCCTCACGAATAATGGCATCCGCGCGGTTCAACATGTCTGGAGTGGTGGCTGTGGCAGGACGCCCAGAGCGCGGCAGATCACGGAGCTCGGTTTCTTCACTTCCTGAAGCTTTAACTCTCTTAGCCCAGCGACCAACGGTGCTCCTATCGACTGCACAGCTTCCATACACAGCACACAAACGTTTATGAATGTTCACCACCGTTTCTTTTTCAGCAACAAGGAATTCAATTACAGCTCGTTGCTTGTAACGAGAGTCGTTCACAGACGCCATTTTAACAGTTCACTACAGCTCCGCCATTGGTTGGAATCATTTGAAACTCCGTACACGAACGCGAGAAACATCAAATCTCAAGCATGTAAAAGTACACTTTTCTATCTTCATTATTGGCTGAGAAAAAAAATGTGGGGCATTATTTAATGAGCGACCCTCGTATATTGTGATTAAGTAGGATTTGAGGTTCTCACAGTGGTGAGTAAGAAGATGGCTATCTTCTGCGTTGCAGCACTGTGTAGTCTAGAAGTTTACTGACGTTTCAGAGATCCTTGTTTCCTCCATTACATGGTATTACAACCCAGAAGACAGCCATCTTCCTATATTGTGATGTTTATGCATCTTTGCTTCCTTGTGGAATAAGACACAAAATAGGACAATGATAACAATAAAAGCCAGCAAGAATGGAGGAAAGGACCAGTGTATACATCTACTGACTGTACGTAAAACAGTTTCAGTAACTAAACACAATTGCCCTGATCAGTCCATCTCGAACTGAATCACTGGGTTGACCAACAGAGAAAGTGAAGAACACAGTATCACACATCATTCGCTGAGTACAGGAACCCATTGGGTACCAGCCCACCTTGTTGAGGACAACCCCCACTCTGTAGACCTTGTTCCGTTGTATCTCCACTGAACGGTTGAATGTTATCTCAACCAGTGACCCATAACTCACACGTGTTGTATAGTGTGTGTATGTAAGTCGGCTGCCATCTGAGTCCAGGAGGTGTGCATAGAGCAGTTCTGTGTAGGAGCCTCCAAGCTGTGGATTGGGAGGACTGCTCCCTGTTCCAACCTCCGATCCTTCTCCAAGAACTTGTGTTGGAATCTGTGCACAAAAGCATCGTAGTTTATAATACATGCTGTTATGCTGACCATATTAGCAAGGCAAGTAACAGGCTTCTTACATCTATATTTAGCAGAAGCTCTCACATACATATTTCAACAACTTCATAAAAACTGTTAACTGAAGTAGGTTGTGAGTGGACTTTTAGGAAAGACTAGTTTAGTAACAAATGGAATACAAACAGTGGGATTATGGACTTGAATTTAGCTGAAGATCTGGTGTAAGTCCACATTTTTTGTGTTGTGTTGTGTTCTTTGTCAAAGCAATTGGGACAGGGCAAGTTGACAACATGAATGGAGACATCTTTAAATCACAATCAGAAACGAGCACAGGAATTGCAAGGGAACAATTCATTTCCCTCACAACAGATATCACAAAAAGTCATTGGTGATCAGCAAACTATATAATCTCAAATCATCAGGTTATGTGATATTCTGGACCAATCACAAAGCAGTTCTAATAGTTAATTTCAGATGTTATAGTTGACACAGCTGTTGATTCTCTGGGGATTGAAACAGTTTAATTTAGTGTTTTGTGAAAAAGTTTTGTTGATTTGTGCCCTGTGAGATAGTAAGGTTTCGCTTTGTAGAAGTAGAGTTCCTAGCCTATATGTTAAACTGTATTAGTGTTATGTACATATATGTTATTGTATCATGTTGTGTTTCTTACACACAATGCAAAATCACCTAATGTATTCAAGTCCACCTTCAAACAGGAGCTAAACTTCTTATTTTATATGAATGTGATACAGTATAGCACATCAACTACCATAACATAAGCAAACTTATTATGTGGAACAGAAATGCTGCAACAACCCAGAAGACAGCCATCTTCAGAAATCAGTTATATTCATGTAGCATACTAAGACTACGTGTTTTCATGCTTATTAGTGTCGCTTTGCTAAACTCTTGAAACTCTATCTGCTTCACTGGCAGCTGTCAGCAAACATCTGTTATATCAGAAACCAAATAAAACAAATATGATTGAATGAAATGATGGTCAGCAACTATTGGATGTAACTGGATATTCTACATTTGATTCCCAGCTATACGAGGTGCGATCGGAAAGTTTCAAGACTGTCAATAGAGGGCGAACCGGATGTAGTACGAGCTTCTGCCGCTAGGGGGTGCGGCCTACATTCATAGTGAATCAGTGTGCCAGCCGGCATCATCGAATTAGCATTTGTTTCTTAGTTACGGGCGTTTTGGTAGTGCATTACACCGACCCTCCTGCGATTTCGGAATGGCGGATTTTCATGAACAAAGAGTGTGCATCAAATTTTGCCAAAGACTCGCCAAAACGGCTACGGAAACCTATGAAATGCTAAAGCAAGCATTTGGGGAAATACTTCGAAATGGGTCGTGCACAAACTTTTGTGAGGCATTCTGCCAGCCGGCATCATCGAATTAGCATTTGTTTCTTAGTTACGGGCGTTTTGGTAGTGCATTACACCGACCCTCCTGCGCTTTCGGAATGGCGTGTGCATCAAATTTTGCCAAAGACTCGCCAAAACGGCTACGGAAACCTATGAAATGCTAAAGCAAGCATTTGGGGAGTCCGCAATGGGTCGTGCACAAACTTTTGTGTGGCATTCATGTTTTAAAAATGGCCGAACCTCTGTCGATGATGACGAGCGTTCTGGACGACCATCTTCGAGCACAACGCCCGAAAATGTTATGAAGATTCGGCAGGCCCTTCACGAAGATCGACGTCGTACCATCTACGACTTGTGCGACATTGTTGGGGTAGGCTATGGGACCTGTCAGCTGATTCTAAAGGAAGAACTCCACATGCGACGGATCATGACAACGCGCCAGCGCACACCGCCCTCAAAGTTCGGCAGTTTTTGGCCTCAAACACTATGGCCGTCATCCCGCACCCTCCTTATTCGCCGTGTGACTTCTTCCTCTTCCGAAAGATGAAAATTCAGCTAAAGGGAAGGAGATTTGAGACGATAGAAGAGATTCAGGCAGAATCGCAGATGGTGCTTGACAGGCTGACAAAGAAAGATTTCCAGGGATGCTTCCAGGCTTGGCAGCGGCGCTGGGATCGTTGTGTTCACTCCCAGGGGAACTACTTTGAGGGTGATGGATGAATTTAATACCTGAGATAAGTGTACGGGTTTTTATAGGCGCAGTCTTGAAACTTTCCGATCGCACCTCGTAGTACTGTGGTGCCAGTGGGACGTGGTTGACTCAGAATAGCAGAATATCAATGCTGCTAGACAATTTTATGTGATGCAGAAAGTGACAAATACCATTGTGAAATTAAACATCGACTATATTACGTTGGCAGACGTATATTTACGACTGAGAAAAGCAATCGGAAGCGTCTGTTATACTGATAAAAATGAGACGGCACTCTCCTTACAACTAAAAAGTATTCCTGCATTTAACATTCTTACATTGACTGTGCATAGAAGAAAGCCCAGAAGAATGGACTTGTTACATCAGACTTTTACTGTATTCATAAAGATTATAATAAAAGGTATCTACACAGAAACTGATCAAATTTATAAATTATGAAGTCAAAGAAAGTCACAGAAGAGAAGACATTCCAGAACAACACATGGCATGATTGTTAGTCAGTCTACCCTTCACTAGCATACACTGGATACTAAAAATCAAATAAAAACTTAAAGAATGAAAGTATTATACCACTGCTACTGTTCAGTCTATAATGCCAATGGGCTGGAAAAGACAGTGGAAGTTAATACACAGCATCATCAACATAATGTTCTTCGTCTTAGAGAAATGCACCTCATGGGGCTATCTATGTCTGTCACGTCTTTCGTCGCACGGTTATAAGTGATCTTGGATCACGCAACAATAACCTGCATACCATTGTTACATTTGTTATTCCCTTGGTTGCCCTGCTGATATCATTGCCCATGATGTGGCATAAAGAACACCTCTGGAAGTGCAGTGTACTCAAATCTTGTTATTTATTACAATATGATATTTCTTATTGCTGCAGATATGTAAAAGAAGAGAATCATATTTACACACACCTGCACTCCATGTACAAAGATGTTCCTATCAACTGTGAAGGTGACCGAGCAGTCAAGGATGCTGGTGTTGAGACAGTGTGGCTGTGGCAAAATGTTGCGTACACAATAGAATTTGGTGTCTCTGTGAGCTGGTGATGCTAGGATGCCAACCTGCACAGGAAGGGATGAGGGTTGGTCAGGAGAGGCTGGCGAGGGTCGGCAGCGAGACTCAACACTGTTTGAGAAGCCCTCGGGTAGAGGGAGCTTGCATGATGCAGACGTAGAGGAGATGTTGAGTAGGATTGCAAAACTCTCGTCCTGGGTGAGCAGTGGAGACAGGGCTGGGCCTTCTGCAAACTGTGATGGAGTCAGTGTCAGAAAGCGTATCTTGCCGACTGCTGGTCCCAAGACAGAGCGCAGTGATTTGCCATCATCTGGTGGGAGGCCTTAAATAATACATTTCAGCAAAAGTTACAGTAATATATGCACGAGGAAAAATGAAAATAGCACAAGTCATGTGGGTCAACCATGAATTAACCTTGGCCCCAAAATTCAGAATAAATAATTCTAGGTACCCCAGAAAGTAATGAATTTCAAATCAGATACATAAATATAATATTTGCCTACTCCAAATGCACAAAGTAGGCTGGTGTAGCTGCAATACATAGATACTTTTATTCAGGAGGTATCTGGTTCAAATTTTGGCTCAGCCTTTCCAACCATCACAGGGTTTTCATGGTTCTCTTGTCTCTTCAGAGCTTTTTTTTTGTCAGATTCATTTTCAAAGGATAATACTGTAAGGCTTTGGAAATGTTGTGTATTTCATTCTTCTGTTTACAAACTTAACACAAAATCCTTTATGAATATGTAGGATTTGAGGTTTTTACGATGGTGAGTCTGAAGATTGCTGTCTTCTGAGGTTGTTGTGCCGCGTAGTCTGGTAGAAGTTTACCGACCTTTCAGATGTCCTTGCTGACTCCATCATCAGGGACATTATCACCCTGATGATGGAGGCAACAAACACCTCAAAAACATCCACATACTTCTTCAAGACTACACGGTGCAACAAATCAGAAGACTTCCATCTTCATATCTGCCACCATGAGAACCCCCAACTAACTAGATGGCTTACCGAACCCGAAGGTTCATCACCGAATTAACCAAAGCCCTCCACCGGACCCTGTCCTGGGCCAACAAAATCCAGTCTCCTTCAACTCCTATCTTCCGTAGATCCCGCCTGAGATTATCCTCCCATCTACGTCTAGGTCTCCCCAGAGGTCTCTTCCCCTCAG